AGTTGCTCCAGGCTGGTGCTAACAAAGAAGCAGTGGGTACAGATGGCCACACAGCTTTGCATGTGGCAGCTGCCAGGGGACACGAGAATGTGGTGCAACAGTTGCTCCAGGCTGGTGCAAACAAACAAGCAGTGCGTAAACATGGCTTCACAGCTTTGCATGTGGCAGCTCTCGAGGGACACGAGAATGTGGTGCAACAGTTGCTCCAGGCTGGTGCTACCGAAGAAGCAGTGGGTACAAATGGCCACACAGCTTTGCATTTGGCAGCTGCCAGGGGACACGAGAATGTGGTGGAAAAGTTGCTCCAGGCTGGTGCTAACAAGGAAGCAGTGGACACAAATGACGCAACAGCTCTACATGTGGCAGCTGCCAGAGGACACGAGAATGTGGTGCAACAGTTGCGGTTTAACATGGTTTGACAGCTTTGCATTTTGCACCTGCAAATGGACACGTGTTTGATTGTCACTCCAGGCCAGTGCTGACATGCAGTAGACAAAAATGACTTTACAGCATTAGATCTGGCAAGTCTCACGAGCCACCACAATCCGATCAGGCTGCTCATTGGCATCTCCACCATGCTTCAGGGGAGCGTGAAAAGAGAGGGGCCGCGGATGGTACAGACTCAAGACTCGGAACCATGGTCGGTGAACATCCCCCGTTGAAGAAGAACATCTTGGGAGTCTGAGGGGTGGGGATGCGGGTGTCCTTGTTCTTGTTGGTTGGCAGGGTTGAAGCCACCAAGCCCTAGGCCCCTTACACTCTGACTCACTAACATGGAAGTGGAAAACGGTCCCTTAGAAGACTACTTTCCTTTACGAACAGGTGGTTTTCCACTTCGATGTTAGTGAGTTGGAGTCTAGTTTTTATCTTTGCAGTTGTCCAAATGGGCTCAGTTGGCTCTCCATAACTCTAGAATTAGTGTGGCCCGGCCCGGTCAGAACTCGTGTCTTAAATCCAAAGACTATTTTTTGGTCCTGTGTATAAGCCAGTGGGGTTTGAGCCCAGGGTGCGGCCTCCTGTAGACATGGAGAGAAGTTCATCATCACTCATCTCTTTGTGCTTAGTCCTACTAGAACCGTTCTTCCCCCCCACACGTCACTTCCATTTCCACGGTCCAAGTCCCGGCTCCTGTAGACCGTCGTGTTTTAAGGACCTACCCTCAGCTGGACCCAGAACGTTCAATATACTTCAATGACCTCACCTCAACTGGGACCCGGAACCCTTCAAAAACTGAGGAATTCCGCGAGAATCGAAGGATCTTCTTGGGCTTCTCGGATGAGAAGAAGTGTGAGGAAGACGCTCGGCTCGAAGTGGTGACGGGTGACGGGTGAGGACGGGGGCCTCTCCACGTGGTTGGTCTGGTGGGAAGTGGACAGATGACAACTCCAGCGGCCAGCAGAGGCACTTTCACTCGAAAAGAAGAGTTGGTTGAATAGTTTAGGGTGATTGAAAAAATAGTTTTGGGCAGAATGACACCTCTAATGCTAGGCCTTTAACAAGGTGCCTCTTGGGCCACTAGGAGTGGGCACGCTACTGGTTGGTCACGGCAGTTGCTAGTACTTCGCATGGAGCAGAGGTGAATGAATTTGTAAGAGGGTGTGGGTCAAAGAACCTAAAAACCCGGAATTGACCCAGAGACACAAAACCGTGGGATCTTGTGTTAAGTATTGATCCATTCGCACGTGCACCCAAGGATGTCAAGGTGTTTGCTACAGCATATGGCACAAAAGCACCTTTTGCCGACAGGCTTGCGCAAAGGTGTGGAACTTGATTGCACGCTTTCTCTGATCCAGCGATGCATGTCTTGCAACTGAGGACTACTTGGAGAGCCTCTTGCGTCTCTTACCGCGAGTGCCACGGATGTGCTGAAGAGCAGGGTTCTTGCTTTGAAGACTTTCCCTGTCCTGTCATGGTAGCTCTGATGGCTGAGACTCATACCAAACATGATCCCCTCCACTCGCTCCATCTGAACATCAACAGCTCTGGAATGGCATTTGGCTGTTCACCCGACCAGTTTTCTTCCCACAAAAGCATCAGCCACATGGCCGTGGGATCAGTCGCAAAAAGGCTGCCGGGTAGGTCCCAGAACGAAACCCTTTGAATTGGTCCTTCTTCCACGTCAAAAGAGATGGACACACGACTCCAGACTGCAAAAAACACAAGGAACTTGAGTGTTTGAGTGGTTCATAGTGGCCCCCAAACAGATCGACACGGTTTTTGATGGATTATCAGTGGGGATCTACTTTTCTATACAACTTGGGGGTCTATTTATAGCCTGAGAGTCCAGTCATGATAACTTTGAACCCTGGCCTGGTAGTGGTGGAGTATGACTCCCAGCTGGGGTAAAATGAGTCACAACGGAGGTTCTGGGATGGTGCTTCACTTCCTAAACTTCAGAATGTAAACAGAAAGGACGCCTCCAGTTTCATTCCTAAAAGACCGTAAAGAGAGGAATACATATCCTATCATGTCGTCATACACCCTTGATTTACACTCCTCCGTCCACACCATCTCATCCGCGCGGATGTGAGGTGTCCACGGGGCAGCCGCAACGGATCAAAGCAATGAAGAAGACCAAAGAGAAGAACGAACCAGAGGTCATCTTGAGCGACCACGATCCTTTCGTCTGCAGGCGCGTGCCAGAAAGCGAAAGCGAGTTTCCTGTGCGCGCTCTCGCGAAGCGAAGGTCATGTTTTTTCGCACGGAGCAGGAAGGGTTGGAACAGATTTTTCAACGACCAAGGATTGGAGATTTTCTTCCTCGAATCTTATTGACGTAACATGTCTAGGGCCTAGGGGGATTCTTTGGTCATCACGATCCATCGGTAGTCCATTGATGCTGCGCACTAGGTTTTTGTAAGGCGAACAACTTCACAACTTGGGTGAATGATGGTTTTGGGAGTGGGAATACTGTAATGCTGGTTGGTCCTTCTTGAGAAGGGGCTCTTAGTATTGTTCGTCGAACACTGGCCTTAAGATCCACCTAGAGGATTTAAGTCAGCCCTTTAGATCCCCTTTCCAGGGCATCTTTGCTCCGATTGGACTTGTATGGATCGCATGGGTGCTCGGGCCACTGACATGGCCCCCGATGGGATAGTTGCTTGGATTCTTCTACTGGGTCCTTGGTCACGTGGTATGAATTCATCTGCGTGACAACGTGGGATCGGACGCTCACGATTCTTGACAGTCTTAAGATTCCTTCGCAATGCCCCCCGATGCAGGCCACTCAATTTCTCGCTGATCCACTGCAAGATAGCTAAGACTGACAGAACCACCTTCCCCTCCTGAAATTTGTTACGAAGGGGCGACCCCAACAGCAACCGTCCAACCACTCTCCCCGGTCTACTTGGTGTGGAATCTTCGAATCTTCCAACCTTCCAACCACCTTAGTGTTTAGTGGACCTCCCCAGTGTCTCTTCACCTCTCCGACTGCTTTCCAACCGCGAAGCCGCGACCCTGGCGGAGGTGTTGCATCCATTGCATCGCCCTGCTGAGCTTGGAGCACAACTTGACCTCCTTCCAGCGCTTCGTGGACTTGACCCTGCCGAAACTGCTGTTCGATCTCTTCTACAGCGAACAGATCGACAAGTCCTCGGGGGAGGCGGTGGTCTTGTTCTTCGCGAATATTCTACACAGTGGCCTGGCTTGGAAGTGCACGTGTGTCCTACCTATGAGGATCTTCACTTTTTTCTGGTGGTCAAACGGGGTCACAAAGTCTCAAACCCCGCATCAGTCCCTTGCATGCTTCGTTGGCCTTCTGAACTATGTCTTTTCCCGAAAACACTGCAGATACATTCGCCTTTGCACCAATCCCCGGCACCACGCGCAGACTGCTGGCGCCGAAGGCTGGCTCCGAGCACCACCGAGGTTCGAAGCAAATCCAAGCGCAGATCATGAAGGGCGCCGACATCGTGCCTCGGCCGGGACGGAAACGACCGACCGAGCCGCTCGCTGTCGGTGGGACGGACGGTTGGTTCGTTCGGCTCGTTCGGTGAGTGAAGCGAAGTGAGAGAGGAAAGAGAGCAGAGGTGTGGGCGGGTAGTGCGAGAGATGGAACTTGAGAACCATGTTTGGAAAGGAGATCATTTTCCAGCAAGCCTTGACATAGACTGAAACATCAATGCCAAAAGACGCAAACACGCGTAATTACGGAAAAAGAACATCTTTTCTCTCAACTGATTCAGATGGTAAAGCCTCCTGATGTGTGTCTCATAGTGTCTCTCTTTCTTCCATCTACATCTCTCCGATCGCTGTGAGACAGCCTGGTGCTCTCAGGTCCAGTTGCTGCTCTCCAGCCGTGACATGCTCTTTTCACCCCACACCATCTCCAGGTGTGGAGCGCCGACGGACGCGGCACGTGGGTAGAGTGGGGATCGTGGAGTGGGGGCGTCTTCTGGTGTTGAGGGGCGAGTCTAGGGCAGCTGATCAGAGTGTGTTTGGGAGAGGTGGGGAAAGTATTGGAGCATGGTTGTCCAACTGCTTTTGCCCACTGCTCCACGGCCCACAAGAGCCGGACGTTGAATCTGCGTCACGCTGTCCAACTTTCTGAGGATTTCGGGCTGCAATGTGCCATCGGATGTGCCATCGCTAACAGCAGCCTGAGAACAAAGGTTTGTTGGTAAACTATACACCCAATTGCTGATAGGCTACAAATTCTGCAGATCAAACTCCACCTAACCACATGGACGTATCGCAAGTGGAATTCACAGCTTTCGAATCAGTATCCCGCCCAGCCCCTTTGCCACACAGCCCAGCCGTTGCGGAATCAGGTGCTTGTCGGCCTTGCTTTGCATCGCACGCATCCCGGACTTCAAGCGCGTGGCCGCACGGCTGCAGCGATCTGCCCGATCCGTCCAAAATGAATTTTTCACTGCGTGAGGGATGGTGCGGGTGGTACCCCAGAAGATAGACATGTTGGTTCATAGGTTCTTGAAGGTCGCTATACTAACGAAGGGCGGGTCATACAGTAGGAAGGTTAGGAGACACGCAGTTATTTTTGGAGAAGTGAGTTGCAGCACAGTATGAATAGTTTATTGTAATGCCAACGGTGTGAGCTATTCATTAGTAGCATCACCAGCATTCCGTGACCAGGAATTGATTGGATTCCTTTATCCCAGCTGAATAAGCAACAGTTTTGGCAGGTTCCCCTACAACAAGCTGGGCTGCTCATTGAGGTCTTGAGCCATCTCGATTTGCTCATGGCCGACATCAACGCCAACCTCAACATGGAGGAGAGTGTTTGGCGAAATGGTTAACGGTTTGCTTGCTGTGTTTAGTTGTTTAACACACCGGGACTTTGGTTCTTGGACGTTTTGGCATCACGGACATGGCCTACCTAAACCACCAACATGCCAGTACGACAACCGTGACAATTGGGTTGTTAAGGGTTGTGACTAGCATGCTTGGATTCTTTCATGCCAAGGTTTTTTGCCTTTTGCCTAGGCGTTTGGAGAGAGAGTCGAGTTGAATCCAAACTGTACGTCGCCTTTTCCTTGCCGCCGTTGAGCTACTTTCTAGTCGACATGAAGACAAGAAGAATTCATCTGCAACAAAGCAAGCCAGCGAGCCATCCAACACATGCTTTCATGAGCCATCTCGTCGCACCTGCCAAACACCGAGGGTTTGGATGTGGCAAAACCACCCATCTGACGGACCGTCTCATCGGACCCGGGTCCGGATTTCTTTTTCAGGTTGGAACATGTTTTTCTATGTAATTCTTCAGAACTACACCCAGATCACGCGGTTTTGTACCGCGGACAGGAGCGCGACGAGCACTTCTACCAGATTGCTGCGCTACAGTGCCTTGAAAACTGTTTTGGGGGGAGTTTGTTGAGCTTGGTGTCTCGAGCGGAGGTATATAATTGCCTCAGACACCTCCGTGGGACTCTGGCACATGTACCTACATTGGGGATGGTATAAGCCAGACACCTCCATGCGACTAGCTATAGCATATTTATCTACCGGCATTGGAATGGCGGTCAAAATATGGGCATATACGCATTCCTTGCAGCCTCACATAGAGTCTGTGCATAGATGAGCCACTGACTCTACGGGTTATCCGGATTGACCACTCCAATAGCGTCCTTCCCAACTTTTCCAACTTTCCGAAACCACCTGGCAGTGTGTGGCAGGTGCTTTTTGGGTTAGACCTGCTTCTGGGTACCCAGCACCAGATCGGATCGGACGTCGCGCGTGTGGCGACGTGCGTCGCGGCGGGTCGGGTCGGCAGGTGCTCCTTGTTGTCGGAGCTGGCGAGGGCCTCCTATGAGTATCACGAGCAGATGGCCAAGAGCGGCATCGCGCCTTGGTTAACAAGACTGGGAGGAGAGAAGGGGGTGGGTGGGAAGAAACAAAGGAGCTTCAGCAGAGAGGAGCAGAGGTGATCTCAGCTGGTGGTTGGTGGTTTCGTGGAGCATATTCCTGGACAGGGTTCGACTACTACTGAATTTGGAAGAACATCCTATTGCTCTGTTTGCCACTTCTGTGGACTGTTCGCCACTTCTGTGGACTGCAGGTTTCTATTTGTAGTAAGAATGCTCCTAGTAGTAAGGCCAGGAGCGCCTAGTAGCTTCTTGTTCCTAGTTTATAGATGTTTATAGCAGAGGCCTTTTCATCTTCAGATCCTGCGGACAGCAACGACCAGGTCGAAGCATTGTTGGTCTTCATCACCATGGCTGGCAAGGACGAATTCTCGCGTGCGATGCCAGGGCCCGGCAAAAAGGCATCACAACCCCCAGGGCCCTGGCGAGGAATGATGAGCATGATCACAATTACTGTAGCCTGGGGGTGGAGAACATTACCATGCGTCGATCCAAATTCAGGCCTTTGGGCCATATAGGCCTTCAGGTGTGGGTGGAAGTTGGGTTGGAGGGTAGAGACCATGGGCATGGGGGGGCAAACAAGTCTGACCTGACGGAGGGCTGATGAACACCCATGGAGGAAGAAACAAATTTCGGCTGTGGCCCTTAAGACATGGTCCAGATCAGTATCACTCAGTATCTAGCCATCCATCTTTTTTCGAAAACAGGCTCATGATTTGGATCCATGACCACCCAAGGTCCCACATCTGAACATGCACTCCTTTCCGCCCGTCCGGCCGGTTCGGGGGTCCGGTGAGGTGCAACTTACTGGTAACTGACAGGCTTCGCCAACCGGCGACGCCCTTGGGGGCACTGCACGTATCTGCAGGCTGTTTGCACAGCAAAATCGACGATTAGTACAGTTTCTGACGCCTGCGCATACACCCTCCCACACAGGTGTGCGCACGAGGGTCTGATGGAAAAAGTCTGGCAACCTCAGCTTCAGACACACGTACGCACATGCACGAACGCACACGCACGCGCACATGCACGCGCACGAGAGCGCGCGCAGGCACGGAGGCACGCACGCACGCACGGCTTCTTCAAATATCAAGAGTTTGTAGTGGAAAGCGCTGAAGAAACTGTATTATTGAATATTTTTGAGAAAGTGCCCAGAAACACAGTCCTTTTCAGCGTTTTCCTCTACAAGGTCCTGATATTTGACCTGTGGCAATGCTATGTGGATGCTATGTGGGACCTTGATGCCATTCACCATACCGACGGTAACGGTAATGCAATTTTCCCTCTGACCGGTGGGAGCTTGATGCTGATGCTAATGCTTATGGCACTGGGAATGCCAATGCCAATCGCTATGGGAATGCTGATGGTAATGGGAATGGTAGGGGTAATGGCCATTCACCCTGTGACGTGTGGCAATGCCAAAATGCTCATGACAATGGTGATGGAATGTCATTCGCCCTTTGACCTGTGGGAGCTATTCACCCTTGACCTGTGGCAATGGAAATCGCAGTGGCAATGCCAATTCCTGTGTCAATGGCAATGCAAATGGCAATGGTGATGAAAATGCCATTCACCCGGTGGCATTCAAGAGCGAATGAAATCTTCAAGGTCTTGGGCGAAGTGGTCAGAAGGGTTGGTGAGAGCGATTGCTCTTTCTCTGCACCTCAAGTTGCCCATGCCTACCTCGCCAAGATGGACGTGGAACGACCATGTTCCTTACCGGCAAGACTGTCGGGACTGTGTGGAGGCCATGGGTGTGTAGAATCCTCATAGGAGGTCACAGAATGTATCCTCGGCTTTTGTGATGTCCGTGGACCCATTGAGAAGGGAAGGGACATTGGCCTCAACCGCGGTGCAGGTATGGTATGGTGGCGGTGGTGCCAATTCCCATGGTCAACGAGTTGATGGGAGCGCCTGATGAGCCTGATGTGAAGGAGATCCCTGATCTGCCTCTAGGTGAAGGCCTTGAATGAGAAGGGCGGCCATCGAACAGACGTGTGATGCTCCACGCCTGCAGACTGTGACCATTGCTGAACCTATGGCTTCGAGGTCAGTGGAAGACATCATCCACTCTCTCCAAGATCCATGCCCGCTACAAGATGATCGGAGTACGGCCATGTTGGCTGCACACTGACCGGGAAAAGGCCTTCCTCACGAAGTCTGTTGCCAAGTGGGTCCAAAGCAGGGAGATGGTGCACACGATGACCTCGGGTGACGACAGTCAATCGAACGGAAGGGTGGAAGGCGAGCTCAATCAGCTGAAGAGGAGGACACGCCTCTTGCTGCATTCCGCACTTTGGCCTTGCGCTCTACGTCGTGCGGGTGAACAGAGGTTCAGATTGCAGATGCAGCGTTTGGGGTGTCGTCCAAGCCCATGTTGATGTTCGGCTCCAGGGTGATGGCGAAGTCAAAAAGGTGGCGCCATCAAACTGGGAAGTTGGCAACCCCTTCAAGCAGATGGTTTTGTTGGGACCTAGTCCATTCATGAGTTCTGGATGGTAGCTCAGGATCTACAGGGGCGAATCCAACACCTCCGAACGCCAATCACCCGTACCTTGTGGGAGGTTGAGGGCACACATCCTGTGACCTGTAGTAATGGTTATGCTAATGGCTACGGCGACGCTAATGGCAATTCTAATCTTAATGCCACTGTAGGGTTTGATGCTAATGATAATGCTAATGGCACTGGGCATGCCAATGGTAATGCTATGCTGGTGCTAATAGCAATGGCAATGGTAATGCCATTCACCCCGTGACCTCTAAAAGCTTGATGCAATTCACCTGTGTTGACCTGTGGTAATGGAAGTGCTAATGGCAATGGTGATGACAATGCCATTCAACCTGTGAGGTGTGGGAGCTTCGTGCCATTCACCCTGTGACCTGTGGTAGCTTGATGGCAACGCGGATGGTGATGACAATGCTGATTGGCAATGGTGATGGTAGTGCCATTCACCAAGATGTTAATGCCATTAACCCGGTGACCTGTGGGCGCTTGATGCTTATGCTGATGGTATGGGAATGCTTATGGCAATGCTTATGGTACTGGTAATGTCCATTCACCCTTGCCGTGTGGCAATGCTAATGGCAATGGTAATGCTCATGACAATGGTGACGGAATGTTATTGCCCTTTGACCTGTGCGAGCTATTCACCCTTGACCTGTGGCAATGGGAATCGCAGTGGCAATGCCAATTCCTGTGGCAATGGTGATGCAAATGGCAATGGTGATGATAATGCCATTCACCCGGTGAGCTGTGGGACCTTGATGCCAAGACCTGTGGGAGGTTGAGGCCACACACCCGGTGACCTGTAGTAGTGGGGTCATGCCAATGGCCATGGCAATGCTAATCGCAATTCTCCCTTTGACCTGCAGGGCTTGATGCTAATGATGATGCTAATGGTACTGGGCATGCCAATGGTAATGCTGGTGCTGGTGCTTGTCGTGGCAGCCCGTGGCAAGTGCCTGCAAAAAGCAGCCTACTATGGCCGGTTGGCATGGTCCTGAGGCCACGCCAAAAACCAGTCTTGCCACAGCGAAACACCCTGACCCTGGAGGTTTCACCGGGGGATGGGAGCGACCGCTGGCGCCGTCCAACGTTGCCTTTGGAGTTCCATAGAAGGAGTATGAGAGAGTAGTCTGCAAAATGCAGCCTACGGCGTGTCTGGCCTGGAACGCGCAGCCCGGCCCAAGCATTAGCTAGGCTGGGGTGGCGGATATTCAATGCCCTATGACTTAGGTTCCGCTCCAATTCCTAATGACCCCGTTAGATTCCTTCCGCGTCGCGCCAGCTCAGTGCACATCCAGGACTTGAATGACAAGGTCTGCGTGGAGCTCCTGATGGGCGCCGTCTTCGGCATCGCCGCGCTGGTGGGTTCTCCCACCGGGGGAGATCACAGCTGCTTGGTGGATGAGGGGCTTGGTGGTGGAGGTGGGACTAATTATATAGGTGGGACATGGTGGGGCTAATTCGGTGGGACTTGGGAAGGAAGGTCACCTGATGCATGGACATAGAGCTATCACTGAGCTATGACGGCTGGATTTGAGGCTGAGATACCGAGGGAAACTTAGGGAACGATTATTTTCTTGTGATTCCCTTGGATCTAATCTTTATCCAAGGAAAAAAACATCAAAATTAAATCCTATGCGGGGTGGATGTGGGTGCAGGTGATTTTGTAGGTCAAAACCCTCTGGCAGATACGCCATATGCGTATGGTGGCTCTTCCCGACAAGTTGACATCTTTCATAACCTTGCAGTTCGTTGACCGCCACGTTCAACTCAGCGCAATTTAGGCTAGAGGATTCCTGTACCAGTCGGTAGGTGAGATCCACCATCTAGAATGTGGAAGGGGTCTCTTAGGTGTGTCTGCCTTGGACAGAAGAATTCGCCTTTTCCGAAGCCCTAAGGGCCCTAAGAGATTCACATACTCCCACAAGGTGGGTTTCTTCTTTGATGTGAAGTGATGTCAAAAAACGACCCTATTGCATAATGCCAAAAAACTCCGGCCTGACACCCAAGGCATGGCAAGCCTCATCTATCCCGCCACGCGTTTACAGCTGCTCCTGTCCTTGCTTCGACTGCCACAGCAAGATGTGCAGCTCGGAACGAACGGAGCGCTATGGGTCCTGTGGGTCCTGGCGACAAAAACGCAGTGGTTGACACTGGTAGGTGGACCTCCCCAGTCTATTCTGCGCTGTTTCTGACTGGTCAACCCCAAATGGGTCTCGAAACGGGACGGGTTCCGAGATGGCGGACCATCTCTTGTGAACGGTGAAACCAAGGGCATGAGAGCTTCCAGATTCGAGCATTCAGTTCAATGGTCCTCTTGGAGAGAACCAACTCTTGAACAACTTGGAGCAGATGAAGGATTCAAATATATTGAAAAGAACACATCCAAATTATATTGATGTGAGTCTTCCGACTCTTCGACACCAAAACTGTTTGGAGTCGACCATGGAGTTTCCACTCCACTCAGCGACTCCAGCACAGCTGGGGGTGGGGAAGCAGAATCTCACTTTGCTCGGTGTGATTCTGCTTCTCCACTTTCATGATGATTTCAGGGAGTGTACTGGGTCGTTTTTGCAATCCTCTGCTTCTTTTCATTCTGGGTCGGGACCGCCATCCTCGCCCATGGGGAAAACCCTTCACAAGAAGCTCAAAAAACACCTGTCGCCTGGCTAAGGAATGAGGCCTTCCATTCGGGCACCGTCGGCCTGCGAACCCTTCAGCGAGTAATCTATCCCAACATCACCACAGAGGACCCCGGTTCGTCGCGTTTTGCGTGTTTTTTGCGTCGTCGTTGGTCCATGTCGTCGGAGCGTTTGGGGGTTTGGAAGTCGTTGGAAGTGGAGAAGAGAGAGAGAGAGAGATCTGGGGAAGGGCCATGGTTTGGGGGCCCTAGAGTGTTTTGAGGGGTTCTTTCCTGGTTTTTTAGTTTTGGGTGAAGCATTTTATTGGTTCTTTCTTTCCGCCGGTGACGTAAGTAAATCTAAGAGTGGGAACCACAAGACTTCTTCAGTCAAATGCTGGACTTATATAGTTGTGGGCTTGAGATCATTCTTGCCCAGAAAGATCAGATGTTGAAGTACAGTATAGTCATCATAGGTTTTACCTGTTTTAACAACCCTGCTTGTTCCAGTTATGGATTGATGGATGCCCAATCCGTTTGAATCCTGTACCACCCCAACTTGGACCCTGTAACGACCCGGTTTGCATCAACGCAGTTTGGGAGTTGTTGGGACCAAAGGATATTTTTTTTTGGGGGGTCCATCCATCTGATCATGATGCCAAGACATGAGGTAGTTTAGGAGGTGAGTGGCTGCCCCAGACGAATGACCAACTCGCCCAGACGATTGTTGGGGCATGGCAGAGGGGAAGGTGCCTCACCAGTCGAAGGGTCAAATGACTTTGGTAGTGCCAAGCAACCTGAAAAGCAGACAAGAGTTAACTCAAGGAGCGCGGGATTTTCCACCGAATTCAAAGGAACACCGTAGTAACGTAGTAGGTTCTGGTGTTTTTGCCATGTTTTCTGGCTGAACTCCTCCTCTACCATCACCTCCCCCCAGGCCACAACACCCTTAGAGCTACCCAGAGCTACTCACGGACACCACACGTCGTTTCGGTGCGACGATGCGCCCCGCGGCACCTCGATGTCGTCCTGTTCCCGACCCACCGGCGACACGGAGGAACTGCACGTGGATTCGATGGACATTCTGAGTTTTCTAGGCGCGGCAGTACGAGGACCGAGGAGTTCCGAGTTGACGCGAGGAAAAGGTCGACCCGATCGTGGGGTCCGAGATGGCCAAAGGTCGATTTGTCTTCTGTGTTGTTCGAGTAAGAAGCATTCGTTCTTGGAAAAGCCTGTCTACTCTGAGGGTCTGGGGACCTTTCAGCAGGAAGCATTTGTTCTTCTAAGAAAGTAGAAGAGGTTGGATCATACTATCCTCCCCTCCTGCACTAGTGTCCTTGCAAAACTAATCTTGCTGGATGGCATCCATGTTATCACACCACTTTCCAAATAGAACTGGTGGTCCTATGTATAGTACAAGAAATGGACCTGCACTCCGGTGTTCAGCTCGAAGCAGCTTATGCCACCAGTAGAACCCTAAGATCATCGAACTGAGAGTTGCCAGTCCTCATGGTTTCGACGAAGTTCCCCCCCGTTTCGAACGAGGACTTGGCAAGGGGCATGCCATCCACTCATTGCTGAAGAATGAGGATAGAAAGTAAAGGCACTGCTCCCCAAACAGGGCAGGCCCCAAGTAGGTCTACTACTGCTATCGACGGTTTGAACCTCCAAAACACCGAACATATCCCATGGTCAGCAGTTTGTATTTTGTGGAAGGTGGTGTTTCAATTTCTTTCCTCCAGCAGCACTCTCCACACTTGTCCTCTAAGCCACCCAGGGACTTGGAACGTGTCATCCTGCTCATGATACCCACATGAGTCTTGGTCAAACCCACAGCAGACTCTTGGTCTACGGTGGAAAATATTTACATGGGATGGGCTACCGAAATCGATCAGTTTTTCTGATGCAAAAGTGGTCACTTTCGGAGATTGCCGTTCTCCAACTATAATGTCATTCATTGACCATCCTCCACTGCACCAGTGCCCAGTTTCCATATTGAACATCGGTCCAACAATCTTCCTCTGGCCAGGCAACTGCGCGATCAAGCCAGCCAACTTCATCTACAGGAGAAAAGAACACGTATTTCCACCCGGTGTGCGGTGATGCGTTGTTTTTTCTTTTGTTCCGCAAGACATTGTTCGACATGATATCCACGATATATTCATAGATCTGCTGAGTCAGGGAACTTCTGGGTTTTCCAGTCTATGCGGAAGTATGGGAAGGTGATAGCGATTTGAAAGCTGGGTGTTCTTGGAGGTCTCCGAGTTGAAGCTCTTCAGGGGCTCATCATGGTCTTGTACTGTCGGACGTGTCCGTCCACTGAGTGTTTCATTGTTTTATATATCTGCATGAGTATAGTATACTTGAGTTATATCTCAGTGTGGTTATATCTTAGTTCGAATATATTATGCGGTATATAATATCTTGATACACTTGAGTTACAACTGCTGAGCCAGAGTGTTACAACCACCGAGCAAAGCAGGGTTTTCGCACCAAAAGCTTCTGCTAAGCATGGACCGTCCCACAACTCATCTCTCCCCGCCGTGGACCGAAGGAACGTGATCCGCACGGTTTGCCTGCTGCTGTCGCATCATGAGATGGGACCCAGGCAGGGGTGGGGTTTAAGTCCATTCTGCACTGTCTGTGCTGGCGTACTCCAGCAGACCCTTATTTCTGTCCATCTTATAGTCCTAATTGGTTTGGAAAGGATTTCTTACCAAAAAAGAATTGCACAGACATACCAAGAAGTCAAAGATCCAACATTTTTCAGGGTGTCCTAACACCCACCTGAAACCTTGCTGAAGCCCGGAAGTCTTTTCAATGTCGTTTTTTTTTTGCTTCATTTGCAGCCACGGTCGACGCCACGACAGAGTCACGGGTCGATCAGAAAGTGTTTCGATCTCGCTCTTCGTTGGAAAAGACTCGAGTGCTGAAAACACCGACCTCCGCAAGTCTCCCAGTGCTCGGTTCCTGGTGCTCCTCTGAGTCTTGAGTCTCAAACGACGGTCGCTTCTCTCTTGTCGGCCTCCCGGGCCTCCCCGCTTCTCTTCGCCGCATCGCTCAGGGTGCAACAAGCCTTGGAACCCAGCAACGTGGTGCCCACCTGCCTCTTTGCCATGAAGGACTGCGAAGACACCTACGTTCAGGCGAGTATGTGTCCTACCGTGTCGACCCGAAACTCGTTTCGTTTGGACGTATTGGGACGTGTTGAGACGGGTGGACCGCGGTGGACGTGAATGCTCCGTCCCATCCGTGGAATCTGGTTTGATCAGTTCAAGTGCGAAGATGCTATTCACTTCTTTTCTGAGCTGAGATGGAGATTCCCGAAGAGGTGTTTTTGATTTGGGTCCGGTGGATGCTGAGAGTCAGGAGAGGGGGGCCTCCAAACACTTGACCACTATGAAATGCAGTGCCAAAAGTCCCCGGACTGCCTTTTTCTTCCCTCGCGTTAGAAGGACGCGCAGCGACACGTTACCGAGGAAAAACCGACGAAACCGACGAGACCCCGCCAGGTCTATGGCTTTTTGCTCGTGGCGAACTTCAGCCGCGACCGAGCGCTGTTGTACAACTTCCTCAACGAATCGGCGGTGATTAACGTGCCCTGAGCTGACTCCAGTGTTCTTGAGAACCAGCATCCGGACCAGGGCGCTTTGCTAAAGATGTTACAGAATGTTACAGAAGCAGAGCGAGTATGATCTTCCCTTAAGCAGGTCTACGGTCTACGGTCTACCAGTTTCTTTCATCCAAGAAACCGTGACAGAATTGAAGCACCACACGCTGTGATGAATGTTCAGCTTCTGGAAGAGATAGATTCCTCACTTCTGTGGGAGTGCAACATCCTCCAGATCGAGCCCTTGGAACCAGGGCAACTCGATGGTCCCAAACAACCACTCCGGACTAAGGGAGAGACCAAGATGTCGCAGCGTGATGATCGCCTTTGGCCCCCTGCCCCACCAGAAAGGGTCAGGGTCAGCACCCGCTGTGTAGAGCGCCCCGCTGTCACACTCTGTGACGGTAGAAGTTCAAGGTTTCTGACGTGATTGGTGTAGAAGTCAAGGCGTTCCAGGTCCTTTGAAGGGACGTACCTGGTGACGTCTGGCGAAGGTCTGGTGCTGAAGGTATAGGGTGTTCATGAGGAAGGTCTGTGAGGCAAGAGCAATCATCATAACAAGTCACTCCACCTCACAGAAGTTGGTAATACCAGTCTCCACCTCATACCAGTCTCTCAGACCAGAATTTGTTGCTCCCTTTGGGCTGCGCCTTCGCCGCCTAGGAGCTCTTAACCACCATCCGCCGCTCGGCGCCCCATGCCAACGCGCCCGAGGCTGGCGATGGACTGGGGGGGGGTGGTTGGGGCAGGAGCTAGCTGCTAGCTAGCTTTGCTTCGTGAGAGGTGTTCTTCTATGGGGGAAATCCCACATCCTGAGGAGTTCATAGGAAATATAGAGTATATAGAATATAGAACTTATAGGAAGTCGCGTGCGGTTTCTGCATCTTTTTTTAAGAAAGCTTCAAGGGTAGGAATCGGAAGGAACAGCGAACAAAGAAGGTGCTTGTTGATGTTTCTGCATAGCTTTGTAAACTTGATCGACACTCATCTTCGGGCAGAGTAGAAGATGGATCTTCCAAGCAACCAACACTCGTTTTCAAAACAAGGATCAAACATGTTTTTTGTGAATTTTGATATCATACAGGATCCCTTCACTTCTTCAGAACCTGGGCCACCCCCAACCCAAAACCTCCAAACCCAGGGCCCCAACCACTCCCCTTTCCAAGCCTCTCACCACCACCTGACACGTGCGTTTAGCCCGCACGGCCACGGCCCTCGCTCCAGGCCACCTTGCCGGTGCGCGAGACCTTGTCGAACGTCACCGGGCCCTGGAGCAGCTCCGCCGTGGCGCGGAACCGCTCCTGGGCGCCGAACCCGGAGCGTTTGCGGCGCGGAGCGTTCGGCGCGGGAGCGTTCCGCCCTGGGGGGGGTCCTTTGGGAAGCGCGAAAGGGGTGGGGCTGGAGGGCACATGGACACGACATGGGAGGTGCCTCTTTGGGAGATGAGGGCCTTGAACATGCGGGGTGGTACAGTTGCATGGGGAATGTGGGTGTAGGATGTGGGGATAGTGGGTTTTAAGGTCAGTGAGTTTGGAGGGTTTTGGAGGTTTTTGGCTGAGATTGGACACCAGGGGTGGAAGGGGGGAGAGGTCAAGAGTCGTGTGACTGTGGTGTTGCGATGCGTTGCGATGTTTGTTTCTGGGTGCGGGGACTGGAGTGGAGGTTGAAGTGTGCTATGTGATCATAAGGCGGCAAATGTAGCTCCTTGCTGTTGGCACAGCTGGGTTCATGGTCATGAGTCGATCAATGGATGTTGGGTGTAAGACACAGGCCAGTATGGACTCAGCACGGGTATCGACCTGGGTGGTTCATGTTGTGCATCCTTCACATCGCTGGCGTGTTCTCAGGCTATATGTTGGCCATGTCCGCCTTGACCAACTTCGCCGAGTGTCTCGCGCAGAACATTGACCACGTCTCGGTCAGGGAAGTGATACCACACACCCCCACGGCGGTCAGGTCCGTCGGTTGGGGTCAACGGGGAGATGGGATTAGATGGATTCCGAAAGGAACGGATGACCAGTGCCATTCGGAAGACCAGTGCCGGGTGGTTTTCAGTGGTTTTCACATGTTTTCACTCCACATGACCATGATGATTTCAGGGAGTGTGGAGCCCCCCTCTGGCCCAAGGCAGTCTTGGCCTGTGTGTGTCTTTTGACCAGGGGAGACTGCTTTGCTGGTCAACTGCTCCGATATGGATGTGGTGGACTGTGAAAAGTTCCAGGTTTCGCTCCCCAACAAGGATCAACACGCATGGAGAAACCAGGGAAAAACACCAATGGAAAACGTGTGTTGCTTTTTTACAACTTATAGCTCACAAGGGCATGTTGGAGGTGCAGTGATTTGAAGAGGACAGGTGGTCAAGACTCAAGAGATGTCTGAGGCTTCCAACGTAGGGCAGACAGCCGTTCCTTAGGCCCTGTAGACGTCTCCAAAGGCAGCCAAATCGACGGATCCCATAGGTAACTGGCTAATTCAGATGAAACACCTCGCAAGGAATCTTCAGAATGAAGAGTTCCTTGCTATACTCACAGATTCCTCAACTTCACCTTCTCTCGCACTCAACGGGGAACCTGTCCCTGGTCTGAGGTGCCCTGCACCCTTTCGGGGCGCCGAGGTCCCGCGCACCGCTCCAGACCACGGCGCGCCACATGCGCGCGCCGCGCGCTCGACCCGAGGCGTGTGAAGGAGAAGTTCCGCGGAGACGACGGCGAGATCCCGGTGAATCCGGACATGAAGGCCTTCAGAGAGTGAAGAGTCAAGGGGAGACGTTGGAGAGTGTGTGGAGGACGTCGGAGGGTGGTGCTGCAGGTCTGTACATGTTGGGGGATGAGCAGGGGTGCACACCGAAGAACGAAGCATGGAAAAAGACACGGGGTGTTCACTGTCGCAAGAGGGTTTTTGAGGGATCACCCTGCAGGAATTCCTGTGGTTTTGAGGTGCCGCTTCAGTCATGGGGGTGGGTGCGCCGCGGATCTACTTTAGATGCTGCCTTCTCCTTTGCAGATTCCATTAAAGACCGAAATCGGCAAGCACTTGGGAGGTGAATATGGTGAATTCTTCAGCTTGGGTTACTAGATTGCGCTTCACCCACTTCACTTCTTTGAGATGAGGAACATTCGTTGTGGAACAGTGCAGAAAAGCCTGCCTTCGGTCTCTTCGTCCAGGAAGAGGATGCGGAATCCTCTTCGTTTCGGCCGAGTTCAAATGGAGCTTTCCCCATCTTCCCCCCCCAATGAAGTGAAGGGAAGACCAAAAAGGAGCTGCCCCCCACCTGGAGTGGCTCATGACTTGATGGGTCAGCACAGTCTTCTGAATTAAACCATCGAGTAACTCATGAGTGATGACTATAGCTCACTGGGTGGCGGCTGCTTGTCCTGTTCATGGAACGTGGAACGATGTTAGGTTGATGTTTGGGCAGATGGCTGGCTTCCCCTCTGGTCTACTTATGGCATGTGTCTCCATTTGCATGATCGGTTTGATAGAGGGTGTGTACAGCAGCGTTCGGAAGTAGCCGCAGGTAAGAAAGAAGGATACGTCACAAGGGTGTGTGCTGCAACAAGAATGAACTCATCCAAATACATTGAGAAAGTAAATGCCTACATGAACAAAGCAGTCATATATGTGGACAATGAGCACTGGGTGCCTCGTCAATTCACCTAACAACTTCTCGCGAACCTGTGGGGGACGCAGTGACTGGCCGGTGGGGGACTGGCGGGATCGACTTTGGAGCCAGGGGTTTTCATACAGGGATCTGCTCGGAGCGAGCCGGGGAGTCCCCCAAAAAGGCCCTAGCCACTTGCGAGGTGACCATGGATCACCGAAGCTATTCAGCTTTTAAAGACGTTTCATTCGTTGGTGCGGCTCCAAATTCACCCTGCGCATATCACCATGCATCGCACCGTGGCTCCGCGGCGGTTTTCCCCGTGGATCAGGATGATGGAGGTTTGGTGATCTCGAATCGCATCACGCTCAACAAGTTGACCTCCACCTGCATGCGGGACCGCGCGGATCCGGGCGGTCCGGGCGGATCCGAACCGGATCCGAACCGCGCGGATCGGTCGTGGTCGTGGTCGGTGGTGGAGTGTGCACCCGTGGTTGGAATGGTCCGAAGAAGGTCGAACGGAGGGGTTTTGAAGATCCTGACGGTCAACGGTCAGCCACATGTGACGGTTTAGATCCCGATGGCGACCTGGGTGTTTGATGATGGGTGCGGAGAATAGGGTGAGGCGACGGAAGACTTGGTGGTGGAGACTTGTGCTTTCAAAAAGGGGATCAAAAAGCTGGTGAAGTTGAGAGCACCGTTCACTTTTGTGTCTTCGTTCGCTGAAAACTACTGTAGCCTGCTGTAGCCGCCTTTTTCACGTCGAATCACTATCACCTAGAAGATGAAGGTCATGAATATATGCCCAGGACTTCCAATGACTCATTTTACTCCACCTGGTAGTCATAATCCACCACTACTATAGGGGTAAAGCTGAGGTCATGACTGGACTGTCAGGGTTGTTTGTCGGACTGTGCTATGTAAGTGTACGACCGTTCCTTTTCAGATTGTGGTTGAGCCGTTGAGCCAAGGGTGACCAGACCCACAGCCAACACATTCCAACAAGCTCACAAGAGCTCAGATGAGCACAAACATCAGGTAACATATAGGCCCTGATCATTGCCGCTCTGTGATTCCAGCCCTGAAATTGACACATGCTCAGCAAATATGCAGCTCATTCAGGAGGCTTTGGCTTGCTATCCGGGATCAGTGCCAGTATGACACAGAATGGAGAAAGCGCACGCTTCTTCTGGTCTGGGGCGTTCTTGAGAATGAGTTCTACTGTTGGGGTTCTCTCTTAGGAGAAAGAGGCTGGCCACACTGGCTGGCCGCACCCCTGAACTCTGTGTCCAGGCTCTGTGGTCTTGTCCTCCTCTATAGTCCTGCTGTTGTCCTCTGGCTGCGCTGTCCAACCCTGTGTCCTGAACACATGTGCGGGCATTCAGTGTGCCCACGAACTTCGGGTTCTGCTTTCTTTGGGCGCCCAGTCTCTGCATCGACTGACACGGCGTCGACCGCGATCGCCGACCGTGTCGCCATGAGGAGTTGGATACCATCGCCATGGAGAAGAAGCTCGGCGAGTTGACCCCCTCCGAGGAGTTCATCGCCATGCTCCGGGCGCGGAGCGCCTGGTTTGGCGTGGTCGGGGTGGTGAGGGTTGTTGCGTGCACGGTGTCAAAGGGTGTCCACGGTGTGTCTGGTGCCTTTTTTGGGTGCTTTTCGCACGTGAGGTGGGCGCCGTGGGCAAAATCAGTGGGAGTTGGTTGGAGCCGCTTGGGGGTGGAGGATGTATTTTTGGGTCTAAGACCACCCACCTGAGATGTGTGAGACAGAAGGCTCAGAACCCCAAACAGGTCCAAAATATGTGGGTTCCTATTTGGTGGCAACTGCTAGCAGGATCCCATAAGCCTATGTTTCAGCTGAAGGTCATCTTGAAACTGGGAGGAACATATTCATTCTACAGTATTTCATACTAGTGTTTCCAGTCAGTCCAACATCTGGGTGAAACGTATCACGCATATCAAACATGTCAGCATTCCAACAACCATTGTTGCCGTGGTTGGAATCCCAAACTTCGGGAATTCTACACACCTACTGCAGAGTGGAGCATTGAGTATACCTTGGGTTCTGGAGGGTGTGCTGCTCATTCGACTTCGATCAAAGGAGAAATGGGTATCTTCTAAGGTTGACTCAAGTGATGCGCTTACTTTACAGTGGAGATAAAAGGGGTAATTAGATGATGTGGGAGAGGACGGCCAAACAGTTCTTTCTTTGCAAAGTGCCAGACAGGTCCATGTTTTCTCCATCCGGACATAAGGGCGGGGTGTTGTCGGGCGGCTACTTGGTAATGGTTTCCATCCACCTGAGCTAGGACCAGAACTCCTGATGTTTTAGCGGGGATGTTCTAGCAGGTTGTGGCTGTAGCACACCTGCTGATTGAAGGAGATGATTGAGGTGGCCTTTGTCTGAGCAACGTGAACTGAATGGAGATGAGAACTATCCCAAAGACCCACTCAGTGACAAACATGGAATCCCTTTGTAAAGGAGATATCGCTGCTTTTTTGGGGGGCGCCATGCCAATGTGAGCATGGGGTCAAGGGTACTCTGAGATGTCAAGACACTGGGGGTCCTTATAGAGCCTTCTTCCAGTTCACCTCCCTGAAAAGCCTTAGCTTCACCTCTCACTTCCTTAACCAATGGACTCTAGCCAGCCCAGCAAGAGTTCCTCAACATCTCTGGACCCGAGCGCAGCAGATCCTTTTGGAGTACACGGGTTACTGTGTCCGCGCTCCCACAACTTCTTTTTACGGGGCAGGGGTGGTTTTTCTTGGATGGATACCATACATAGTGAGGGGATCTTAGGAGGATCTATCAACCACCCGACCCTAGGTGGTCGGGTCCCCTCCTCAGTCACCAAAACCACCTCGCAGCATGTCCAACCCTTCGCCATCCCCTGCGCCCCACGCATTCAACACCCCGAAACGCCCAAGCAGAAATCCGGTCGCACAGAAGAACCCGGTCGACCTCCTCGACCTCCGTCGGCCTTTCCGCGCGAGAGTTCGGCAGCTGCATGGAGGTCTTGATTTGCGCCAACAACTTCATGGCCAGGGTGGAGCTCGAAGACCCCGGCCGCGGCGGCGAGGCGAGGGGCGAGGGGAGTATTGAGTTCGATGCACACGGAGAGAAGGGTTGGAAAGCAATCACGACTGGCCACTGGAGGCAGTGTTTAAGTTTAATCAACAACAAGAAGCACGAACCAGATGGGTGGGATCATTCGCTAAGAGGACAGAATTAGTGACACATTCAATCGTGTTTCACCCATTGTCGACTGTCTTGCTCTTGCGGGGTTGATCGTCAGACCTGAACTGGTTCCTTCGCACCCAGAGAGAGGCTTGAGCGGCGTGGGAAACATCCAGTGCCGCCCTGCCTTCAGGTGAAATTGGAAGCGATGGATGTTCATCACTCAGTGACAACATGGCTCGGGTGGTGGGGGAACTACAGTGAGGCTTTTTGAGAGGTTTTGCACGTCACTTAGCTTCACCATTAGGTGATGGGCTCTTGACATGCAGGGGGTAGACTGGTCTATTTCCCGAACCTTCCTGAGGAGCTTTTTTTCATCTTTGGAAGTCCAAACGCACCGGAGTTGACATTCAGAGCAAATTCTCCAATGAACTCTGGATCGAAAGGTATCTCTCTCTGTCATCGCCCACCACTCCGCCTCGGCCACCCCTCTCCGCCTTCGCCGCGGCCGAACGCGCTCGGTGCGCTGGTTTCTCGCCGTGGCCGCCCACGCGGCGCTCGCCGCGGGCTCCGCGCCGAGTCCAGCTACGTGAGTCTGCTGACCGAAGCGGAGAAATCCAAAGATTCCCTCGCCGGGGACCCGAAGTCGGCGACGCCAGGGATTCGGAGATGGGATTCGGGGCTGCAGCCAAGGTGTGAATCATGTGGTTCATGGTCACTCTTATCAAGCCCACAAGGTGAAATTGGCTGGAAGATATTCATATACCCTATGGATCCACATTGACATACACTTTGGGACGGTCATTGGAAAGACTGCAATGTTGGTTTGGAGGGTCCAAGTACCTTCTGAGAAAGTATGTGGATCCCTATAGGGATACTCAGACCCAGGTGTTGAGGTCAATTTGTCCTGTGTCCTGAAGGTGCTTTGTCTTTGAAGCCTCGATCTTGAGCGGGGTGTAGGTTTGTAGTGTCACTTTTTTGCCACACGAAGCATGTTCACTGGCAGACTGCAAAATGACATGCGGCTGGTATGGGCTGATGGTGGCTTGGTCAATTGCCTACCCTGTGTGTAGTGTCGGATCACCCATGCAGCCCCTACCATGCAGGAGACCTAGACAAGCCGCTCTGAGGATCCACGTTCTTGTAGTCCTGGGTGTCTTCAGTCTTCCTAAAATTCGTTGGAAGCTCTGCTTCCAGAATTGGCTCCCAATGTTCATTTGTTGGTACTCTTTAAAGGGGTTGACCGCAAGGACTGCTTCTCGTTTCCTGAATCCAAGGACTGCTTCGCGGCTCCGCTCGCTCATGGTTTCTCCCCTCACTTGTGGCGTGAAGCCCGTGAAGTTGGAAAGCTCCTGAGATCTCAGATCGCCTCGGTACGTGAAACACCAACGAAAAACTACCACGCGCCCTCATCACGCACCGAACCCGTTCGAACCTCCGCGGAACCTCCGCGGGAAGCTCCGCGGGAAGCTCCGCGGACTCGAACCGTCGCTTCGAACACAACGCGCCGAAGCCTCGGCGGAGCGGCGACTGCTTTGGTGGTGAAGACCTCAGGTGAAGCATGCCATAAACCCACTTGCACAGGTGCTGAGTAAGGTTTCCGGCACAGCTCAGGTGCTTCAAGCTCTGCGGCATGATTTCAGGAGCTCGGACCACGTGTTTGGGGGACGGGACCCACCGGGGACGGGACGGCGTGGAACAGTGCTCCGAAGCAAGCAGGAATCCTCCCAGATAGGCGGCACCGACGTGAGAGGTGTGGGTCGGTGTGGGTAGGTAGAGGGAAGACTGCACAGGAGACGCAGGAGATCCAATAGGCTGAGGAAGGAAGATCGACGAGTCCACCCCTTGGGCCAGCTCCACAACGAGAACACTCTCGTTGCTAGAGAGAGGGAATTGGTGGGAATTGTATGGGATTCTTTCTTCATCCATCTTCATCCCTAACACCAATTACTAAAGCCAGTTATTCTTCCTGAGCCGACATGGGGGAAGTGCTTTGCGGAAAGGTCGATGACATTTGCTTTTAAACCGAAAGGTTTCGGATCCTGTTAAAGACCATTTACGTTATAATTATAGTAATATACTTACTGTATATTTATATATATATGGGATGAGGTGAATTGATCTTGTTGCGTCTAGATCTTTGGAACATATATGTTTAAAGCATATTTAAGGGGCTGACGCCCCTCAGCGGGCCAGCAGGCCCACCATCAGAGGTTGTGTATTTTCTAAGTAAGCATCGTACACTTGTGTATATATACCTCATACCTCGACCGCTTTGGCTCAAGGCCCAAAGGCCCACGTCGACGACGACGACGACGGCGACGACAAGAATCAACACCAACACCAACACCACCACCACCACCAACCACCACCACCACAACCACCACCACCACCACCACCACAAACACAACAACAACAACAACAACAGCAGCAACAGCAACAACAACAACAACAACAACCACAACCACAACCACAACCACAACCACAACAACAACCACAACCACAACCACAACCACAACCACAACAACGACAACCAGTGGTGGGCCCCTGGCCGGCTGTCGGGCGTCAGCCCTGGAATAACCTTCGGATACACCGAAGGCCCTCTGGGCGAAACACAGACGCCGGCGCCCGGATTTAAAGGCTTACGCCTGACAGCCGGGCGCCGGCGATCTTGGGGCTATGTTGGCCCATCCTGGGGCTATGTTGGGCATATGGGCCTATGTTGGACCATCTTTGGGCTATGTGGGGCGGTGTGGGCCCATTTTGGGCTTGTGTTGGGCATCTAAGGCCTATGTTGGCCCAGCAAGGGCCTATGTTGGGCCATCTGGGGCCCATGTTGAGCCTATCTTGGGCCTATGTGAGCCTATCTTGAACCTATGTTGGCCTATCCGGTACCCATGTTGAGCCTGTCCTGGGCCTATGTTGGCCCATCTTGGGGCTATGTTGGCCCATCCTGGGGCTATGTTGGGTCTTTAAGGGGCCGATGTTGTTGGATGGACATGGAAGATCATGAGGTGCAGAAAACACTGTAAAGCACAGGGGTCCTCACAGGTCCGCGGTTGGAGCGTTGGGGGTCGGTAGGGGGCGCGCCCCCTATAACCTTCGCTTAACCGAAGAAGGCCCTCCGGGCGAAACACGGGACGCCGCCGCCCGGATTTAAAGGCTTACGCCTGACAGCCGGGCGCGGCCGGGGCAGGGACGAGAGAGAAGGAAGGGATAGGGAGGAAACAGGTGGGAGACCTCGAGAAGGAGGCGGACTGTCCTGTAGAGGTTGATTCTCCGACATGTCTAGCCCGGACGCTTCTCGCCGCAACCCCGAAAACACCGTAAAACACATGGCTTTCGCACGCGTTCAATCCAGTCGCAGCCCCGCAGACACTGTAAAGCACATGCTTTTCGCACAGGTTCAATCTAGACGCTTCTGTCTGCAACCCCGAAAACTCTGTAAAGCACATAGTTCTCGGACATGTCTACTCCAGACATTTCTTTCCGCAACCCCGAAAACACCGTAAAGGACATAGTTTTCGGACATGTCCAGTCCGTGCTCTTTCTCTTCTGGTTGATGCCGCCTGGGGCCTATGTTGGCGCAGCTTGAGGCTATGTTGCACCATCTTGGGACTATGCTGGGCATATCTGGGACCTATGTTGGGTCATCTTGGGGTCCTCTGTCAGGGCATCTTGGGGCACATTTCCCGCCATTGATGTTGGCGCGCGCCCAGCACCCACAAAATGCCGACTATGCCTGTCCGCGCGGCGCGCGTTACCGACACCACCCTTGGAAAACACAGCGTTTTTGCATTTCTCCATCTTCACCGCGCTGCCTCTTCCACGCGCACAAAACCCTGTAAAACGCAGTGCTTTTAGTGTTGTTTGCACCTCACCCACACAATACACTGTAAAGCACGCGACCTGAGGTGAAACACGGGGTGGGCCGGAGGTGGGTCGGCGGCAGGGGGCGCAGCCCTATCCGGCCAGGGGTGAGAAGCGCCCCGTTGGCCGTGTCCCTCCAGGGGAATTGCCTGCTTCTGCGAAGCAGAAACCCCAGGTGCGGGACCCAGAAAACTCAGTGTTTTTGATGTTTTTTTTCCGCTCTTGTTGCTCACCATGGGTCAACATAGCCCAACATAGGCACCAATAATGCGGTAAATGCATGCCGCACCGGGGTGCTTCGTCGGCATCGTGGGCGGATGTTTGGCCGATGCTGGCACTGCATTGCCCCAACATGGGCTCAAGCTGAGCCAACATGGGCCCAAGATGGCCCAAGCAAGACGCAAGCTCACATAGCCCCAAGACCGCGCAACAAAGGCTCCAGATGGCCTAAGCCAGACCCAAGCTGTGCGCAACCGCCACCAGAACCACAACACCAACACCAATACCAACCACAGTACCAAACACCCCTCGGAATGCCGCACCCTCAGCAGCTGCGGCCACTCCCTCAGCCTGCGCCCGCGCCCTTAAATAACCTTCGGTTACACCGAAGGCCCTCCGGGTGGCCTGTCATGGGTTCAGAGACCCCGGCTTTAGTGGAGTAATAATGTCGGGCTGGACTTTCAGAGGAGTCATCACCAGCTCTATGAGGTCATTGATTTCAGTCAAGAGCTCGAACCTCTGAACATAGTGTGGAATGAAGGATGGATCTGGCCAGCTGAAGTGAAGGATATTCGACTGGCGACACACGGGCTGGCCAGGCCTGGGGCCGGCGACCCCGGAGAAAATGTGAACCTTTGCGCGCAAGGCGCGCGGCTGCAGTCACGCAGGGGGACGGTGCCCGGATGTCGTTGTTGGAGATTTCAGCGGGCTGGCTCAGGCTGGTCTGAAGGTATGTCTCAGCGGCCGGTTGCAGAGGTCGAGCAGCTCTAGGAAGCGAAAAATGGCGTCAGCATACGGAGTGCATTTTTGGCAGATATGTTTGTGGGCGCGCTATCCCGTTGATGCTGTGGGACGTGAAGAATGCGCAGGCTTCGCATGCGGAAGGGCAAGAGATCGCGATTTGCTTCGCAGAATCCAGGAGTCTGTTGCCATCGGAGCATTCAGGAGGAGCGGACGGGCTACTTTAAGTTTTTGGCGAATCCTATGTCATGGTGATGAATTCCCCCGCGCGCCCAGTTGAGACCAAGAAGATATTGAGCGAAAGGTTGCGCGGCCCTCAGAGCGCCCAGCCAACTCCCCGCGTGACCAAACACCCGGGCAAGGTCTCGCTCGAGGCGAGGGTGAAGGAGCTAGAGGCTCGCGTGGCGGATGTTGAGTACCAGTACAAGCAAATTGCTGAGTTTGGCTCCAACACCAGCTTGATTCGTTTGCTTGGAGTAGCAGCAAGGCAGGTGGCTGGGGCAGGGGGCTAGGTAGTGCCGCCCGGCGGTGGAATGAAAAACGTTAGGCGCGCAAGCGTTAAGTGCACATGAAAGAAGCTACTGAGCGTCACTGTCGCAGGATAGGCAACTGTCTCTGCGCTATAATCCCGAGTACCTATTAAAAAAGGACCCCAATTAAAAAAAAGTCATGTCGGATCCCCCTAAATACAGTTTATAATTGTTTACTAATTACCGCCCTTTCAGAAACTACCAACATGGCCGATTTTGGATGTTTTTTCTTATTAGGTTCCAAAAACAACCTGCCCACCTCTGTCCGCCCTGTCTATCCACCACCATGACACGCCGCGCTTACACCAGCAGGCTTTCCTTCCCCCAATGGCACGGACTCACGCAAACGCACTTGCCACCGAGGTCGTGCAACACCGCATGGCACAGCGACATCACCTTTCGAAAGCTTTAGCTGTTAGTCTACTGAAGAATCACTATTCTATTGAAGGTTTTTGTAGGGGAAAAGGAAGACCCTTCGATCTGGAGGTTTTTTGCATTTTTGATACGAGTTTAATAAAGGATTTTATATAAAATTGTCCTGATTATTTTTGGTTTTGAAGGCCCGTGTTTTTTAATAGGTGGACCGGATTAGTATGCATGTACAGTCAGTGATGGAGCGGAGCAACGACGTATCATTCGCCTCTCGGAGCTCCCGGTCATCTGCTTCGCCACAGCTTTCCACAATCAAATTCCACTCCAAAAACGACTGCAAAGTCGTCCTCGGAGCTGCTCTCTCAGCTCCCATGTCCGAACTTTCGATGCCAAACAGGGTGTCTGGATCACTAGAAAAAGACAACTATTCTAGAGGGTCTGGATGACTAGAACAAGCTTCGAACCTGACCTATGTGTCTTCTGCTCGATCTGCTCGAAAAAGCACATGGTTCGCATTCCGAGTGTCTATAATTCCGAGTGTCTATATAGTTGCCAAAGACCCCTTCAAAAAGCTCCGAAAGCTCCGAAAAGGGCTGATCCCGCCACAGCTTTCCCCCATCTAATTCTGTTCCGAAACAGGCCTCCCATGTCCGAACTTTCGATGCCAAACAGGGTGTCTGGACCACTAGAAAAAACAACTATTATAGGGTCCGGACGACTAGAAAAGGATACCCGACCTCCGCCAATGTCCCCAAGACCACCGACTTATAAACATGAATAATGCGTCCTCAGACCTCCTCTCGGAGCTCCCGGCTATCTGCTTCGCCACAGTTTTCCACAATCTAATTCCACTCCAAAAACGACTGAAAATTTGTCCTTTCCAACCGTCGCTTTCTGACCAATAA